TTTATGCTTATTTTTGAGACAGACAGAGTGACAGAGACAGACAGACGGAACATGAGTAGGGTAAGAGCAAAGAGAGAGGGAGACACAGAATCGAAAGCAGGCTCCAGGTTCCGTGCTGTCAGCACAGAGCCTGATGCTGGGCTCGAACTCACAAACCGCGAGATCATGACCTGAGCCTAAGTCCGACACTTAACAGACTGAGCCACCCAGGCGCCCCTCTATTTTTAATGTACATTTTACAATGTTCAAAATACAATGGCAGCAGTATAAACATACATGTATACGTATACACAACATACAGATACACACACCTTATAAACACACACATTAAACATAATTATAGCAAAGTTTTTACTTGATCAAGAAGGTTTACAGAAACCTGTATTAGGTTTTAGACTTCCAGTCTCATTTACCTGAATGCGTGTTATATTTGAATAGGACTCTCTTTAACCGTATCTGCAGACTCTCAAAAAGGAAATGCAGTGCATTGGGGTGCCCGGGTGGCTCAGCTGGATGAGCATCGGACTCTTGATTTCAGCTCAAGTCTGAGCTCACGGTTCATGGGATCAAGCCCTACATCTGGCTCCACGCTGACAGGGTGGGGCCTGCTTGGGTTCTCTCTCTCCCTCTCTTCTCTGCCCCTCCCCCACTCACACTTTCTCTCTCTCAAATAAACAAACAGGTATTTTTTCAAAGGGGAATGCAAAATATTAGCCTCCCGATATTAGTTTTCTTACGAGCACATGGTGGTTTTATGCTGCTGCTTTCCCAAACTCAACAGCTGCTGGATGCCCCAGGCAGAGTGAGAACTAAAACGTTTGTGACAAAGGACTGACCTCTCGCATAGTTACTGGAGAACTTACTAACAGATTAAACAGTCAGCTCTCTGCAATTAAAAGATAATTCAAGGGGCACCTAAGTGGCTCAGTCGGTTGAGCGTCCGACTTTCGCTCAGGTCATGATCTCACGGTCTGTGGGTTCGAGCCCCGTGTCGGGCTCTTTGCTGACAGCTCGGAGCCTGCTTCCGATTCTGTGTCTCTCTTTCTCTGGCCGTCCCCCTGCTAGTGCTTTGTGTGTGTGTCTCTCTCTCTCTCTCTCTCTCTCTCTCAAAATTAAACAAATATTTAAGGAAGAAAAAAAAAGGCAATTCAAATTCCAACACATGAATGTGCACCCCACGCGGGAGACACACTCCTCTATGCTGAGTGCAACGAAGCGCCTACAGGCGGGTTTCAGGAAGACCTCAACTTCTTACCTTTTTGCCAGACAGCAAATCTTCTCCAAGTAAGTCATCTTCAAGTTCACTGGGGAGAAAAAAAACAGGCAGTTAGTGCGCTGTCCCTGCAGCGTACAGGTCTGCAGGTCACGGGGAGTCGTAGCCGGGACTTTGGGGCTGGGGCACCAACCCACGCAGTTTGCTATGCTTTCCTTTCCCTTCACTAATAACAAAAATGTATTTTCCAGTTCAGGGGAACAGGTGGTCTTTTCCGTGTGGGAGGCTCTGCTACAGGGGGCAGCTCTCACAGGCTCAACACCGCCACTGTTTGGTTCAGTGGGAGGTCTGCGCTTCTCCGGACCTGGTCAGTAATCCGTAAAGGAAGAAACCATGTAACAGCTAGGCCTTTCTTTCCCTGCCTTAAAAAAACCTATGACGTTGGGGCGCCTGGGTGGCGCAGTCGGTTAAGCGTCCGACTTCAGCCAGGTCACGATCTCGCGGTCCGTGAGTTCGAGCCCCACGTCGGGCTCTGGGCTGATGGCTCAGAGCCTGGAGCCTGTTTCTGATTCTGTGTCTCCCTCTCTCTCTGTCCCTCCCCCGTTCATGCTCTGTCTCTCTCTGTCCCAAAAATAAATAAACGTTGAAAAAAAAAAAAAAATTAAAAAAAAAAAACCTATGACGAAGTAAGAAAAGATGCCCAACATCATCAACTAGGAAAACTCAACCCAAACCACCGAGAGACCACTGGAGGCTCATCAAACTGCAACAACTGAAGAAACGAAAACGACGACGCTGACGAGAACACACAAGTAAGTCACAGTAACTACAAGAGTTCTCTATGCACCACACGGGAGTCCTGCCCGTACTGTGACACTGTGCCGTCAGCAGGTTTATGTTCTGAAGTGATCAGAAGCAGATTATGTCACAACTAAAACAGAAACCTTTACCAGATCAAAAAGCCAAAGACATTTCCCGCTATGTATTTTGTCTGTTGGTTGGTTGATGAAGATGGCTACCGCTAAATTACATTCTTGGTTCTGGGGAACCCAATGTCTCCAGAACAAACGCCTCTTAAGGACAACACCTAGAAGGAGAAAATCAGACTGCATTTCTTAGGTGCGAATGCGGCAATATTGGTATCAGGGCTGTTACTCTCTTTTATAAGCATTCTGGTTACGAATTTCTGTAAGGTCTGCAGGTTTTGAGCATTACTGTATCCAAAAAGCATGCTTACTTGCAGTGTGCTACTTTGCAGAACACCAGAATCTATACAGGAATGCCTACAGGAGTTACCACAGAAATATGTGTTTCTACACACTTTTAGAACTAGAAACAACTCGAGAAATCATTTTCACTCACGCACCTTTTTTGTTATCTTAGGTTACCCTGTATAAATCCTTCACCTTCATATTATAGATAAAGAAAACAAGGACAAGATTAAACAAGTGGCCCAAAGTCATTCGGCAATGAGATCCAGGACAAGAGCTTACCTGTGGGGTAACTCTGTCACCGACCTGTACGAACCTGTATGAATAAGACAGCTATGACACAGTCACACCGGACTTCTTCCAACATTTCCACAAATCACGTTGTCCCCTCTCAGCTACGACGTCTGCTTCTTCCGTGTTACAGTCAGTACAGCCATCCTCCACGGGAGAGGAAAACACGGGATCCATTCACAATACTAACAAGAACCGCACCTGAGAGCTGATTCTAGATGACCAGTTCACTCGCCCCTGTGAGGACAAGCCCCCCGCCAGGCTGTCACTCTGACAACAATGAAAGGTGACACTGTCAGCCTAGGGGACCCTGAGAACGCCTAAAACCGTAATACAAAAAGGCGTTGGTAATTAATTATACAAACAAATCTAGAAACTACCCCTACCTTCTGCTAACAAGAGGTGTATACGGAAAGAAAAAAATCAGTCTTTGATGACTACCCATTTTTGCTAAACAAAAGCATTTTTCTAAAAAAAGATAAAAGAAAACTAACAGTTATAAATGAGTGAAGCGCACACGGATGGAAAATAGTTGCTTCTGTGACTAACAGACAACACCATGAAATAAGAAAGCAGGATGGGAGACAGAGGGATTAAGCCCACACAACCACAACGGACATAAATTATAGCTCAAGAAATCATGAAATCAGTGTATGACGTGCCAGGAACCATTTAAGTGTTTCACACGTATTAGTGTTCTTGTTGATTTAACCACCCCATTACATAGATGTTTATATCATCCCCCATTTTTCTTAATGTAAAAACAAAGACAAGGAGGTTCTAAATCATCAACTCAAGGTCACCCCGCTAGGAAGTGGCGACATCAATAGGTGAACCGAGATGGTCTAGTTCTGGACTCCAAATCCTAACTACTGCACACAAACCCCCCACAAAAAGTAAATGTACCTCCAATGTATTTCTCTACTGGCATCAAGTTGGATCCTTACAAAAGATGTACACAAAAGGAAAGAAATTTATACACTATAAAGCACTACCAAAATTACACCGTCACCAAAAACAACAATGACCTAGCGGGAGTGCCTAGCCCAATCAAGTCCGTTCAAAGAGACGAGCAGTGCACTTTTTTGCTGGGGCCGGGGGGGCCGGGGACCCGGCAGGATGGACAAGTGTCAGTCTTCCCACTGCCAGGATGAGATCGGGAGTGGCAAGGTCAACAGAACAAGGAGGTCCACCTGGGCACAGCCCTGAAGGCCAACCCTGTGGAAATGCCTCCCGTGCAAAAGAAATATGCTGGGAAAGTAAAGGCGGAAGGCGAACAGGCAAATTCTGCCATCGGGAACCGTGCCAGCGTCCAGCTGATCACGAATGGCCAAAAAATCACAGCCTTTGTACCCAAAGTCAGTTGGATGAATTTTATCAAGGAAGATAACGTGGTTCCAGTTGCTGGATGTGGTCGCAAAGATCCGGCTATCGGTGACATTCCTGGAGTTCGCTTCAAGGTCATCAAAGGAGCCAATGTCTCTCTTTTGGCCTCATGCAAAGGCAAGAAGGAACGACCAAGACCCTAAGCTTTGATGACAAGAACATGACAATAATAACAAAAACAAAAAAACCAAAGAGATGAGCAGTTGGGCCCCTGCCAACAACTGCAGCTACGTGGGCCAAGGAAAGGAGCCGGGGCCGGGTGAGGAGGGTCCCTCCTCCAACGGCCAGACTCCCTCGGGCTTTCAGCAAGCATCACCCAAGATTCTTATGTTTCTTATCCAAGATTAGAGACAATCAGCTCTCTAAGGGCAAGTACACTTTTACTAATAAACAGGAGTGGGGCACGTGGGGGGCTCAGTCAGTTAAGAGTCCGACTTCGGCTCAGGTCACGATCTCACGGCTCGGGAGTTCGAGCCCCGCGTCGGGCTGCCCGCAGAGCCTGCTTCAGGATCCTCTGTCCTCATCTCTCTCTGCCTCACCCCCACCCAGGCTCGCTCGCTCGCTCTCTCTCGCAAAACTATATAAACCCTAGAAACAAAACCAAAAACTAAGCAATGTGTGTACGCTGAAAGACATTTTCAAGAAACGAGTATTTTGTGGTCAGCCATGTGGCTGCAGCCTTTCAAACTGAGAAGTGAGCGATGACAAACAGCGCACTGAGTCCCCTCGTCTCTGCGTGCCTCCTCTCTCCAGGCCACCCTCCTCCGGTCTCTGCCACCTCCGTTTACTGGAAGGTTTCTCCGGGAGGACTCGTGCAGGCTCTCCTGGACTTGCTCCCGGCCGGCCTCGGGCCATGGGATGACCCAAGGGAGTATTACAAAGCGGGAGGAGAGGGACTGCCCCTCCCCTATACCTGCACAGTCCGTCCCGCCTGCTGCCAGCACCGCAACCCCCACTGGCTCTAGGGTGCCCCCCCTTCCCCTTCAGGCCCGCTGCTACTCCCCGCACACCTCGCGGACTCTGACTGCTTCTTTAACCCTCTCCCGTGAGTAGCCCCTTCAATCAAATGACCTCCAGTTGAAGCCTCAAGAATGCGGTCTGTCTCCTGCACGGATACAGACTGATACAAGCACATCCTTGAAAAAGACTTAAACGCTTCAGGTGTTGGTTTAACAACGACATCACGTCCTTCCAAATATTTAACACTAATGCAACACGGCAGCAAGAGCTGATCATGACAATTTCTGACTCACTCTTCCCCTTAACTTTCAAATTTCTCCTCCTATCATCCATAGTACATGGAAGAGGCTGTTTTATGCTTTTAAAGCATCAAAGAAACGCACGTGATGCAGAATCCCCGTATGCAAACACGCACTGAAAACGAGTGAGGAGAGGAGCCTGTTCATAAACAGCGCGGGGACAGCCGCCAGTCACACCAGGGAGAACAAGGAAAACTCAAGCCCTGTGTCCTGGCAGAGCCACAACCCAATCCCTTCGCAGCAGAAGGCCAGCTAACATCTTGACAACTGAAACTCCCACTGGACAGACGCTGGAGCAACTCAAATATTAATAAAAATAGTCACTGCAACGGATTAACATACACACGCAGCACTTCAACCTATGAGCTGGAAATGACTCCACAACAAAACTCCCCTTCGGGGGATGCTAAGGACCTGGCCCACTATTTTGAAAGCTGGCAAATAAAAGTTAAGAATCAGGTGCTTATTTAGTACCTCAGGGGCAGGCAGTTCACGGAAGTCACTTGGATTATCCATCCTGCTCTGCCCATTTTCTGACCTGAATCATCTGATCGACGTCTGGATCTATCAATCCACAGAAAATGCACGAGAAGAAGGACACACTAAAAACACTCCAGGGGATGCAATCAACAAGAGCATAACTTCTACAAGACAAACCACCTTGTTTGTTCACGAAGGTGTAGAGACTAAAACGAGATGTGTGAGAACCCACAGATGAAGCAACACTTAAAAGATCTACCAGTTAGAGCCTGGGTGGCATGATGAGTCAAGTTAGCGTCGACTTCAGCCAGGTCACGATCACCATCTCATGATCGTGAGTTCGAGCCCGGCCAGCTCCTGCATGATGGCCCCGGAGCCTGGAGCCTGTTCCGACATTCTGTGTCTCCCTCTCTGTCTGCCCCTCCCCGTTCATGCTCTGTCTCTCTCTGTCCCAGAAATAAACGCTGAAAAAAAAAAAAAATTAAAAAAAAAAAAGATCTACCAGTCAATTATAATACAGGGATCTACCCTGGACTCAATTCAAACTATAGAAGAGCATACAGACACATGTCCACACTCTGCGTGCGTGCGTATGTGACACATTGATATTTATAGGAGACAATCGGTAATAGAACATAACATGAAGGGAATTTTTAAAAACATCATTTCCGGGACGCCTGGGTGGCTCAGTCGGTTAAGCGTCCAACTTCGGCTGAGGTCACGATCTCTTGGTTCACGAGCTGGGGCCCCACATCGGGCTCTGTGCTGACAGTTCAGAGCCTGGAGCCTGCTTTGGATTCTGTGTCCTCCCTCCCTCCCTCTGCCCCTTCCCTGCTCGTGTTCTCGCTCTCTCAAAAATAAATAAAACATTAGAAAAAAAATTTTTAAATCACTTTCTTGTGGTTATTTATAAATACTATTGTATTTATAAATCCTTTACTTTTTAGAGAGATACAATCTGAAATTATTTCCAGATGAACTTATGTCTGTGATTTGAGGTGGACTGCAGATTACAGACAAAACAAGACTGGCTTTATACCAATAAATGTTGAAGCTGGCTGATGGTACCTTAGGTGACTATACTATTCTATTTTCACATATTTTTGGAATTCTCAGTAAGTTAAAAAAAAATCAATCAATTTAATCAATTTCAGGCATATTATAGATCTTAACCATAAAAAAAAAAAATGAAAATCTTACAAATTGAAGACCACACTGTATGTTCACTACTGTGAATATTAAAAAAAAACAGAAACAAAAACAACCACTTTACAATTTTCATAGGAAAATTTCTGGTATGTACCAGAATACAGGGTAGGTGACAAAGAGTGGAAAGCACCTTGACCAGCATCACACGCCTCCTCAAAGTGATGACATCAGCAAGGCCACGGCACTGCCGAAGAGTGTTCCTGACAAATACACAACCTAAATCTAGTTCTGAGGAGATGCCTGCAAATCCATTTTGAGGGTGAGTCTACAAAACAAACAGCCCGTCCTCTTCCAAAGTGTCAAAGTCATAAAAGACAAGGATAAATAATTCTCCAGATGAAAGACGGGACAAAATGCACTGTACGATCCTGAACTGAAACTTGAACCAGTAAAAAAGAAAACTCATTTTTGGCTATAAAAGTCCATTTTGGGGAGAACTAACAAAACCTGAATAACCACTACAGATTAAGAATTAGAATTCCGTGTTTGTTAACTTCATGATTTGGAAATGAGTAAGTGAATGTCCCTGTTCTCAGGAAATACACAAGGAAATCCACGTGCTGAGGTACATCAGCAGCACACGGGTGAGGCAAGCGGCCCACTGGAGGCGCAGCAGGAAGGACAGCTCTGTGAGAGGGCGCGCAGAGGACGCACACGACAGCAGGCGTGGCAGAAAGCAACTGTGAGTCTGGGGGCTCGTGAGAGTGTCTGTGTCACTTTTGCAACTAAGTCTGAAAATGATTTCAAAGCATACCGTATTCATATTTTAATTTAAAAAATACGGGCGCCTGGGTGGCTCAGTAGGTTAAGCATCCAACTCCGGCTCAGGTCATGATCTCACGATTCGTGGGTTCAAGCCCCACGTCAGGCTCTACACCAACAGCTCGGAGCCTGGAGCCTGCTTCAGATTCATTCATTCATTCATTCTCTCTCTCTCTCTCTCTCTCTCTCTCTCTCTGCCCCTCCCCCACTCATGCTCAGTCTCTCTCTGAAAAATAAACAATATTAAAAAAATTGTTTTTAATAAATAAACAAAAGCCATACAGGCTTACACACAGATTATACAGCTGATTATATTATTTATAAAAATCTACTTGAAGGCTACTGTTTAAGGGAACATGTGTCACAGACTGTGAAGAGGGACCTCCAAGTACAAAAAGTAAACTTCAGGAAGTATAACAATCCCTAAATCGGTAAGGGAAAGACAAACAACCCACAAGAAAACTACATATAGACAGGACTAGACAACTGACAGAAGAAAACATCCAAATGGCAAGTAAGCTATTAAAATCTCCTTTATATTTTCCTCAGCTCCCCACCATCCTGTGAACAAAGCTAGTTTATCAGTGCTTCCGTAGGGCGGTTCTCTCCCAGGAGGTTCTGCTGTGGGCTCGAAGTGATCCGTTACAGACTGGGAGCCACTGAATACTCACCTTAATGCAAGCCATAAGTCCGTAAAGCGTACGCTTCTCAATGCAGATTATTCTGTAAAAGTTCTGGGGCCTCACAGTCTTCAAATGGCAATCAGGATTTTTACTACAGAACATCACTGCTGTTCTTTATTCAGACCTATTTACCTTTATTACTAAACTTCCTGACTCCAACGATGAGGTAATTTTTTACACTGCCGACACAGTTTTTAAGTCATTAAGAAACGTGTAAAGACGAATCCTCATTCGAGAACCCGCCACCCAGACTAAGCCCCACCACCTACTTCCCCCGGTACACGCCCCTCTCCCAGCAGAGCTGCTCATCAGAAGTAATCACTAGAGAGACCTGACACTGATCACTACTATGTGCATTTTAAATACTTTTAGTGCAGGTGTATGCGTATTAGTAAAGATAGTTCCATCTTCGCTACTAATCAAAGAAATAAAGATACAAATTATAGCTAGATACTATTTTACACATATTAAATTGGCAAAACTTTTAAAGTCTGGCCAAATACTGGGAAGGCTCTATAGAACGAAAGAACTCTGGCATACGATCTCTCCAATAACAGCTCTGGGCGCCCATCAAATCAATACCACCATCACTGTGTAAAAACACAGAAAGAGGTAAAGACAACAGGCCGGGAACAGGAGCCCGGAAGAAAGCCTGCCACCCCCAGAAGGCCCTCGCGCCCTCACTTGGGCCCGGCAGGGACAGGCCCACTCGGAGAAGAGGACCGGGCAGCCAGCACAGCGCTGTCAGTACGGCTCTCTGCACGGCCCGGCGGCAGAGCAGGGAAGTTCTCGCCGTCCCGCACCTGTCCCAGTCCTCGTCCGCGGCTCTTCTTCTCCACGACCGCTCTGCACCAGGCTTATCAAACTGGTCAAAGTCATCATCTGTGAAAGAGAAGCCACGAAAGTCAGTCTTACTAAAGTAAAACAGACACAGATATTCAAATACAGACGTTCCCTGACTTACACGGCCTCAACTTACAATTTTCAACTTTACAACGGTGCAAAAGCAATACGCGGTCCATAAAAACCATACGTCAAGTTTTGAATTCGCGTCTTTTCCCAAGCTAGCAAGCAACATGCAGTCCTATGCTTTCTCGTGGTGAACGGCAGTGAACGGCAGCGCCCAGGAGCCACAGGATGAGGGTAAATCGCCAATAAGGCAACTAGCATCTGTACCCAGACGACTGCTCCATGTGTCACTTTCAACACAGTCTCCAATACACTACACAGACTAGTCAACGCTTTATTATAAAATAGGTTTTGTGTTACGTGATTCTGCCCAACCGTAGGCTAATATAATGAACGTTGCGAGCACATTTAAGGTAGGCCAGGCTAAGCCACAGTGTTCAGTAAGTTAGGTGTATTAAATGCATTTTCAAATTACAGTATTTTCACCATGTGACAGGCTTATCAGGACATAAGCCCACGGTAAGCTGAGGAAGATCTGTACTGAACCAACTTGTTTCTTTCAAGGATTCCCGAAATGACATTTTAAGATGTAAAAGTTCTGGCTCTCTGCTCCCTCCTGTTTGACACATGGCCACTTCTTGCGCCGTGAGCGCTGCATCCCCGAGACACAACGGAGAAGGTCTACATGTTCCACTATGATTCCACCCGTAGCAAATTCAATGCACAGTCAGCGCTAAGAACAGGAAACCTGTCATCAATGGAAAGCCCATCTCCATCTTCCAGGAGCGAGATCCTGCCAACATCAAATGGGGAGACGCTGGTGCCGACTCCCCTGTGGAGTCCAGTGGTATGTTCACCACCATGGAGAAGACTGGGGCTAACGTGAAGGGTGGAACTGAGAGGGTCATCATCTCTGCCTCTTTTACTGATGTCCTCATGTTTGTGATGGGCGTGAACCACGAGAAGTACAACAACTCCCTCAAGCTTGTCAGCAACGCGTCCTGCACCACCAACTGCTTAGTCCCTCTGGCCAAGGCCATCCATGACAACTCTGGCACTGTGCAAGGACTTATGACCACAGTCCATGACATCACTGCCAACCAGAAGACCACTGACGGCCCCTCTGGGAAGCTGTGGTGTGACGGCTGAGGGGCTGCTCAGAACATCATCCCTGCATCTTCTGGTGCCACCAAGGCTATAGGCAAGGTCAACCCTGAGCTGAATGAGAAACTCATTTGGCATGGCCTTCCATGTGCCCGCTGCCAACATGTCAGTTATGGATCTAATGCCACCTGGAGAAAGCTGCCAAATACAATGACATCAAGAAGGTGGTGAAGCAGGCCATTGGGGGGGCCCCCTCAAGGGCATCCAGGGCTCCAGTGAGGACCAGGTTGTCTCCTATGACTTTAACAGTAACACCCACTCTTCCACCTTTGATGCTGGGGCTGGCATTGCTCTCAAGGACCACTGTGTCAAGCTCCTTTCCTGGTATGACAATGAATTTGACCACAGCAACTGAGTGGTAGATCTTATGGTCCACATGGCCTCCAAAGAGTAAGAGCCCCCTGGACCACGAGCCCCAGCAAGGGCACAAGAGGAAGAGAGAGGCCCTCTGCTGCTAGGGAGTCCTGCCCCCAACTCATCCCCCAACACACTGAGAATTTCCTGACCTCCGCACAGTTTCCATCCCAGACCCCTTAAAGAAGGGGGAGGGGCTTAGGGGACCCTACCTTGTCATGTACCACTGTCAAGTACACAGCACCCACATGAACGAATGCACGAATAAAATACAGAAGTTCCACATACAACTGTTAGAAATGCTTTAGCCATTTTTAATAATTAAAAAAATTAGATACAAAGTTACCGAACACTATTAAGCATGAAAAATCACTGACTAGAATTTTTTAAAAATCATAAACTTTAGTAAGAAATTTTCTTTACAAAATTACTTTTCAGTATATATTTTTACTACAACTACATGAAAAAGTTCTGCTTTGCTAAAAGTTAAAGGTGTTTTTTTAAGTTTTTTATTTCAAGGGTGAGGG